CAGTCCAGAAGATTAAACTAAGGGCCAACCAAATTCCTTGCTTAGCTCTAGCCAATTCTTCATGGTTCAAAATTGTGGAAACAGATGCCTCCAATATTGGATACGGTGGTATTCTTAAACAGAAAAATCCAAACACAGGAACAGAGGAGCTGGTTCGCTTCACTTCAGGAACTTGGAAAAATGCACAATTAAATTATTCAACCATAAAAAAGGAAATTCTTTCTTTGGTTAAATGCATTTACAAATTCCAAGATGATTTAATCAATCAGAAATTCTTGTTACGCATTGATTGTAGTGCTGCTAAACAAGTACTGGAAAAAGATGTAAAAAATTTAGTTTCCAAACAGATATTTGCTGGTTGGCAAGCTGATTTATCTGCTTTTGATTTAGATGAGCAATGGATGCCAGATCCTTAGGAAGTAAAATCCAGATATTTCCAAACTCAACAATATGCTGCACCGGATGGTCGCCATAGATATATCTATGAAGCCATTCTTACTGAAACTTCCTCTGTGGAAATCAACCACACGAAGCAATTTCCGAATTCCAAAGATAGTCCTCTTACTTATAGTAAAGCTATCTTTAAGAGGCTTATACGGCCTAGTGACTGGGGATTAAATCCCAATTTGCCAAGGAAAATATCCTATGGTCACAGTTACAATTATTGGGATTATATCTCCTACTAAACCACTTTGGTAAATAACATCTTTGAAAATTTTCAAGTGTTTATAATGCTGATCTATTGATTTTGAGAATATGAGAATATCATCAATATAAACAATAGAAAATTCAGTAAAAGGATTAAATATGTCATTCAAAATATGTTGAAATTCTGAAGGAGCATTTTTTAACCCAAATGGCATCACTGTCCATTCATACTGTCCGAAAGGTACACAAAAAGCTGTTTTGTACCTATCTTCTTCGGTGATTTGTACCTGGTAATATCCAGATTTAAGATCAAATTTAGAAAAGATCACAGCAGATTGTAACCTATCTAAAAGATCTTTGATGTTGGGAATTGGGTATCGGATCCAACTTAAAGTAAGATTAAGTGGTCGATAATCAATAACTAATCGAGGAATTCCTCGTTCCTTTTCAGCATTTTTATTGACATAAAAAGCTCTGCAACTCCAGGGGGAGTAGCTAGTAGTGACAAGCTTTTTAGCCATTAAAGAGCTGATTTCAGTCTTACATAATTCCAAGTAGTCAGCTTTCATGTGGCTGGGACTAGCTTTAGAAGGAATCATGCTATCGGTAAACCCCTTTACATAGGGTAAAGAAACAATATGCTTCTTTCTGGCCCAAAAAGCATTAGGAATCTCACTACAGATTTCCTTTAGAAAGTGTTGTCGTAGTGACTCAATTTTCTGTTGCTCTTTGGGTTGTACCAATCTTTGATTAATTGCTAAGGAGGATACCTCCTGTTGCAAATAATTCAGTTGCTTTTCCTTAAAGATAATGTTATCTTTAAGGGCATTGATATGCTTATTTACTGGTGGGGTCAAGAACTGAAAAGTTATTGACTGACCATGTAAAGTAGAGCATATTCCATGAGAATCAATTTTCTCAATTGGCATAATCAAAGCTAAAAAGGGAGTGCCCAAAATAACCTGTTGTGCCAAGTTTCTGATGAGTAAGAAAGTAGATGGGAGACAAATACCTTCTTTACAAATGAAAACATGATTAAGTTTATACTTAATCTGCATCTTACCTCCACTTGCACTGGTAAGACCTTGAGTGGTTTTCTCAAAATATTGAGTAGGAACCAATCCTTCCTGGATGCAGTTCATGTCTGCACCACTATCAACTAAAGCAATTGCATTAGTGAGTGTGTACTCCTGATTAATTACCAAATTGATAGTAATATACCATTTTTGGTAAGTAACTTGATTCAAGAGTTGAAGATAATTAGTACCTTCTGATGGAAGAACTTCATCATTGGATGATGAAGATGGGATTGCAGATTTTGCTTTTAAAAGAGTAATTTCCAATCCATCGTAGTCTGCCTAGACTTCAATTGACGAATTTCTTCTTTTAAAAGATTAATCTCCATTTTAAGATCAGGGAGATTAGCAGGACGAGAATTTTGTCCTTGGTGTTCTAATCTGCGTAGAACTTCTTTCATACTGTAATGATTTTCTGCTCTCAGAAAATCTGGATTATCCGTATCCTCTGTAGATCTTGCCAAAGCAGAACCTATTTCAAAGACTTTCATCTTGATTTGAGGATCCTGGATATGATCTATAAGATCCAATAAGGATTGTTGAGTTGAAGTCAAAACATTTAAGCTTAACCCATTCATCTCAACAATTGCCTTGTAGTAATCATCATGAGAAGGATTACAGGAACATCGAGGGTTTTCAATCTCTGCTTCAGAGGAAGAAGAAGATTGTAATTCCATGACAACATCTCCGTAATCACTTGATGATTCTGGTTCAGAAGAACTAGTATTAAGTAACAATTTACTTAATTGAAGTCTCAGTTCCTCTTCTATGTGAAGACTACTGAGCTTCTCCTTAGTTCTACACTTGTTTGCATAGTGGCCAATGCGTCCACATTTGAAACATTTAGCCTCAGCCTTGGGCTTTCCTTTACCCTTTGCTTTAGGAGTATATCTCCTTTTAGGCTTAGTATACTGTCTAGAATTATCCTTTTCCTTTGAATTATCCTTGTCTAGAAAGGACATTACTCACGTTTACAAGCAGAACAATTATACCAATGTTTGCTTACAAACGATAGGATCCCAGCTTGGGAGAATTGAAACAGGAATAGACACGGTATTAAATACAATTAATACTAAGTGTATTTCTGTGAAAACTTCTCCTCCAGAAGCTTCCTTATCCAAAGCATTGGTGAAACCTGCAATTGAAGTTCAAGGCTTCAATCTGACACATCCTAAGAAGAATGAAGAATTTCTTACTCTTCTTACTCAGAAAATTCAAGGACTTAAAATTCAGACTTTATCCCATGATGAATCTGACATTGGTTCAGTAGCAGTACTAGTTGGATCAATTACTTTCGGTTGGCTATAAGCCTTGGTTTCCACTTTAGAACCACTGTCCGGGTCAATTCGTTTTAGAATTAGATGGTCAGGGGGAGGATGGACAGAGTGGAGAACCTTATCTTCAGATGTGGTCCATGGTTTGAGGAAATCATCCAATATGTTAATATTAACAAGAGAATGATTGGTCATGTAAAACCAAGAAACAAAAGGTATAACCATTTTGCGTTCTTGTAGAAATTCATAAAATTGGGTTTTGAAAAGTTGTAATTGATTTTGGTCAAAACTTTTGAAATACCAACTTCTGAATTCTTTATATTGATCCTGTTGAAATTCAGCATTAATGGCAATTCTATCAGGGACAAAATCCATTAAAACTAATATTCATGCGGGTCATTAATGTCTGTGGGATCGTCAAACTGATCCTTGACAGATTCATTTCCGATTCCCATTTCAGATGGAGTTGGGCTAAATTCAATTCCAAATTGGCGACGAGACATACCTATTGGTGCTTTCTCGTAAACTCCTCTTGGAATTTGATTCGGAGATTGTTGTATTCCTTTCAGCTTGAGCTTGGAATCAACTGCTTCAGGGAGTCCTTCTTTACGATAATCTGACGAGATCGAATGTCGAGAAGGAGGACAAGAAACACGATAAGGAAGATGACTTCCTTTAGATGATGTAGATCTGGATAGATCTATGGATTTTCTGAAATTCAGAAAAACATCACCATCTTGGTCCTGAATAACACAGTCTAAGCTATGATTAGCAATTGGCTGTGCTGGAACGGCATTAGAAATCGTCCAGTGTTCAGGAAATGTTATCTCACTCCAAGGAATCATCCTTTTCGTGGCAACATTTGAGGTGTACATGTTAGTATCCCATAACGCTGTTACTCCTTTAGAGTCTTTGCGTATGGCCTTGGGACACATAGTATCAAGTACTTTGTAATGGATGCGATAAATAACACTTATCACTTCCGATCCAGGTAAGTAATCATATCCATAAGTCTGTACCCTAAGACTAACTGCCTCATGGATATTTTTATCTGTTAAAGATAAATTCAGACTAGGATAGACATCAAAGTAAACCGATCCATGACATAGACTGGTTTCCAGTGCACCCATCAAAGAAGGGTGAAATTTCAGACATCGAGCATCCCTTAGGGTTGCTTGAATGCAGGCATCCATACCTAACAAGGTTAAAGGTTTAAAAGCAATTTGAATTAAACCTATATGGATATACATGTATTTATGCATGTGCCTCTGAAGGTCACGGGAAGACAATAATTTAATTATTGTATCCTTAGTGCTTAATTGCATGGTCTGTTCCATGGTCTTAATAGTCCATAGATCAGCTAAATTAAGCATTCCGATTTTGTAAATGTTTTTTGCACTTACTGGAGGGATAGTCCATTTGTTCAATTGATTTTGAACATTGGTCCATTCCACTACTTCAGTATTTTTTACCAGTTCTGAATCCTGGTTATCCTGTAGTCCTGAAGAAGAGGACGAAGAGGGTTGTAACATGGCTGTTAATTATTGTTAATACTTTAAGGTTTGCATAGTATAAATATTATAATATTATGTAGTGAACAATATATATATATATATATTATTTTATAGACAAATTTATCATCTTTGTACATTGAACTTTGACTTTTCATATGAAAATGAAAAAACTTTTGACTTTTCTTCTTAAAGTGTAATTTGAAGGTCCAAAATGCAAATATGGGTAGTTTTTCTTACTTAAATTACTAATATAGCTTACTATTATTTAAAATATCTTCATTTGCAAGCCTAGTTTTTGTTTGTTTGTTTGTTTGTTTGTTTGTTTGTAACACCAGCAACACTAAGAAAACAACAACACAAAGAAACCAATAGCGACACACCACCAAAGCCTCACAACACCCCAAGGTCCTTGTGAATGGATGAAAGGAGCCAAGTTGGCCACACATCCCAAACAAGATCAGAACTCCTAGACCTCAAGGCTCGATGAGTTAAAGAGTGAGCAACACTGTTACAAGAGCGAGAACCCAAGAAAGACTGCATCCCTCCATGACACGAAGTATGGAAGCAATGTCTTCCAAAACAACTGAAACAAAAATAGAATTAGGCCTTAAAGACATCACCGATTTGCAGTCCCCTTCAAAAAGAACTTTAGAGTAACCCCAAGCTTGAGCAAGCTTCAAACTCTCTCGAAGCAACAAAGCTTCAGCCAACTCTACATTACTCACATGATGAAAGAACAAAGAAGCAATCTTAATAGGTCTGCAGAGCTCATCTCTAAGGATAATACCACCCCCACACTCCAAAAATATAGGAGAAAAAGAAGCGTCCATATTAAGCTTTAAAAAACCCAAAGGTGGGGGAGTCCACTGAGAAGGAACAAAAATAGGACTATCCAGAACTGGAGAATAAACGACTTTAAACTTAGAAATGGTGTTAAATTCTGAGAGATCAGAAACTGCCAAAGAAACCACCTCCGCTGCGTCTTGACGAATATTCTTGAAGACCTCATCATTTCGCGCCTTCCATATATGCCAACACAACAAAGCTCCAAGGCTGCTCAACTCAATAGTGTGATTACTATGGGACCATAAACTGTTAAGGTGGAGCCAAATCTGACTCCACTTTGTCAAGCTAGGATCAATAACCTCAATTCTTAGAGGGGAAATATTCCACATCAACTGAGAGAAGTGACAGCGAAAAAGGAGATGGCAAACTGATTTCTCCTCTTCTCCACAAAAATAACAACAAGGATCAACTGGAACACCTCGAGCATGAAGGTTAGCCCGGACAGGAATGCGTTCGTAACAGCATTGCCAGAGAAAGAAAAGAATTTTACATCAAACTTTAATTCGCCAAATGGCTTTCCACATGTCATTTCGCTCTTGAACATGACTTGAAGAAGGAAGGGTGAGAGAAACCTAAGACCTCCCCATTCGAAGAAGCTTGTAGGCTGATTTTACAGAGAAATTCCCATTTGGAGAAGGATTCCAAGAAATGCGATCTGCTCCTCCAGAATGTCTAAGAGGAATTTGATGGATGAGATTAAAGTCCCTCGCGTTGATATACTGGCAAATAAGGGCACTATTCCAAGAATTACTGTTCTGGTCCAACAACTCTTCAACCTTCTGAAATGGAGGATTTGGCAGGGAGGTAGAAACTTTGGGATGAGACACATCGGGCAGCCAATTGTCCTTCCATATGTTGATGGATGAACCATTAACCACCCTCCATAAAAGACCTTTATGGATAATCTTCTCCGTACCAAAGATGCTTCTCCAACCGCATGAAGCATCAGATGGGCAACAAGATTCAAGGAATGACGAATCAGAAAAATATTTACCTTTGAAAATTGTGAAGAACAGAGAGTGGTCATTTGGAAGTTGATTTGCAAGCCTAGTTCTGACCTTATTAATTCTTTTGTATGTAATAATTTTTTATTTTTTTTATTTTTTTTTATTGGCAAACCATAATGATTGAGGTGAACATTAGATCAATTCAGTGATTATTCTTTAGTATATAAATGATTTGGAGAAGGCCTCACCGGTGGAGGCAAGAATTATTCTCATCATAATGAATGTGAAATAAACTATGAAGTTAAGCTTTCGACTTTCTACTTTAGAAACTTGATAGTGTTCTCTTTTTACACTCCACTTATATGACTTAGTCGGCACATTTTTAAAATCTTCAAAAACAATATTTATCCTTTTTGTGCGTAAATATATTTCTGCATTTGCATTTGTGGTTGATCATAACCCGGAAATATAGTTTGACAGATTTTCAAATATTCATGCACCTCTTCATGGGCGGTAAATGTTTAGTTGTGGATTGAATTCTTGTTCATGCAAAATTCCGAAATAGTTTGAAATAAAGAGCGTAAAGGGACTAATGCTTGAGAGACTTGTACATCTTTTTATTGCCCTTTTCACGATGTAGGCAATAAGGACAAAGATCCTCTTCAGGAAAGGAGAAGTCCTACACATTCACCAACTATTGATATGACATCATTACTAGTAAGAAAATCCAATCCAATAATTGATGGGTGTGCAGGACCTCTTCTTTCTTAAAAAAGATCCTTATCCAGATAATAAACTTATGTTCTGTGTGATTTTTCGTTCATGTTATTTCTTGTTTCATTTGTGCTTTCCCAAGACTAGTCTTAACACGCGTTAATACTATTCCAAGGAGGAATAAGTAGTAAAATAAGCATAGGAAGAACAAAAATGGCAGAAGAATTTTGTAAGGACTGAGGAGAGAAGTTGACCATATCAATCAACAAAGTAGTTAGAACTACTGAAAGATATCTTTTTCAAATTGAATGATGGTGACTCCATTGATGCATAGATATATGCCATGCATACGTTTAGAGCCGCGTAATTAAATAGTAGGATTGATCTTCTAGGTGTTTGGGTTGTTGGAACAAAACTATAGTAATAGTGTTTATTACGGTTGTGCGTAATTGTCAAAGTTTTATTCATGTGTAAACGGAAGATAAATGATAACGCTATTTTCAAAATTTATCTAAATCTAAATATCAAATACGTATGTTGATGAATATTGTACTTCTCTTCAAAAACCAATGTGTTCATCTCCGATCAACTCAGAATATAGTACTCACACTCAAACTCCATAGTTTGAATACACTTCTCTCTCTGAACTTCAACACTAACCCACTCTCTTGATTCGTGGTCTCATAGTGTATGCATCTTTCCGGACTTCCTAAGACCACTATTTATAACCTTTCTACAAAGAGAGAGAAAAAAAAAAAAAAAAAAAAGGGACCACTATTTATACAACCATGGAGAAAATATTTAACCTAACATTAATGAATTTAAAGTAAGAATAAATACATGTTAATGGTGAAATTTCTAGGTTATGTGAGAATCCTGTCTGGATTTTGAATCTACTTCTGTTTTAACTTTTGGACAGGAGTCGATGTCTGAACCATTATTTGCTGAAGAACAAAAATATATATTATAGGTTAGTTGGAATTTCACATCATATGTGCATTTTGATTACATGTGTGGTTGACCATAACCTACGAATTAAATTTCGGTCTTACTTTTTTAATCTTCATTTGTGGAAATCAAGGAACAAGAAAAAAATATAGATTGGAATAAAATGTTCAGGTTGCCTTGTCGTACTTATACAAGTGGTACTCCGTGACATAAAAAAATAAATAAAATGAAATAAATAATTGGAATTAAGGTCTATTTGACAGAAAGGGTTGAAAATGGCAGACTAGGTTGCTAATGGTTGAAGAGAGGAGTTGACCAGTTCAACAATGGAGTACTTAGAACTACTGAAAGATACATACAAGTGTTCCTTCCATCACATTAACGTCGACGCTGACTCCGTTGATGCATGCAAGCATATGCCATTAGTGGGTTGCCTTCTATTTTCTTATAAATTAGTTGAGTTGATATGTACAAGTGTTACTACACTAGGGGCGAAATCGGGATTGCAAAGTAGACTTAGTTAAGAGAAAAAATAATATTATAAATGTACCGGATTAGAAAAAAGAGTAATATTACATATAGACAAGACTGTGAACTAATGATACAATAGTCTTGGTTAGCCCTTCAGTAACTCCGCCCCTGTCTATCATATATTCATGCATGACATATGTATGCATGTAAATCGTTGAGAATTGAAAACAATCACAAATATATATATATATATATATATATATATATATATATATATATTATGAATAGGTCATTAATTTAGCGATACCAGATCACTACTTTTCAAAAGAAGATCAAGGATTTGAACTTTAATAAAAACATATATGTGTGAGTATCAACTAATAAAAAAAGCATACATAATATCTAAAATTTGGAATACGGAGCGTATAAATAATTTCACAATATCGGGATTTGAGAAACATCAATATAAACCAAACTTGTGACTCAGACTCCGTAACTCCGACATATATGTGATGTAATAAAAATTATTTTCAGCCACCATGTATGAGTAGGGCAAATCTTACGCTGTCAGTCTAATTTACTCCATATAATTCTATTCAAGTTATGATAAACAGAATTTTAAAAATAAAGATATTGAAATGTAGATTATAAATAAAATATGATGAAAAATAGTATGCCATGAAAATTTAAATAAAGAAATTTTAAATTTAGAGAGAGAAGAAATTTTTGTCTTGCTTGATAAGAATACTAGGAAAATATGGGGTGTTCGAGAGACCATCATCATGCTTCTGATATAATATTGTCCAAAGGTTGAACTTATAAAATATGGAAACTGACATATATATTGTAAAAAAAAGTTTTAGAAGGGTATACATATGGTTAACGGAAATAGAGAACTTTATTAGCCTAAGGGCAATTATATTTTATACAAATTCTAGAAGATAAAAAAGCTATAAAAACTCGTCCCTTCTAGAAACTCAAATAGTATTAGATTAATAAAAAATGATGATAAAATTTGACACCACACGCTTAAATGGGATAAGTGAATATGGATTTGGATTTAACTTAATCATGTCAATTCAAATTAAAACGTAATTAAGTATGTTAAATTCATATTTCGTCCTCAACTTGTTTATAAGCTAATTATTCCGTATAGTTAAATAACTGATTAGTCCGTTTAATTAAATGTATCGTGTTCGTGTTAAAAATAACTTTAATACTATAAAAAAAAAAATTATTAAACATATGTCTTGCATGTGTAGTACGTACGTGTTAAGTATTGACTCATTTATTAATTAAATTGGTGTGTTATGCTATATTATTCATATAATAATTATGTTAATAATCATATGTATTCATAGAATAGGATAATGGTATTCATATAATAGGATATTCATGTAATCTGATTCACATAACAAGAAGATGTTCATGTTTTAACACGACGCTAATAATGACACGAATGAATTGTCACACTTTTTTTGTTTTGGGTACGCACACGCCTGGAAAGTGGGAATTAAGATCTTTCTAGCTAGTGGAGAAAAAAAAAAAAAAATTAACAAAAATTAATAATAAGAATAATAATAATAGTAGGAGTTGACCAGATCGAAAGTGGACTACTTGGAACTACTGAAAAGATACATACGAGTGGGTAGGACTCCATCACATTATTAACGACCTAGGGTGGGTCCATACATTGATGCAGGCATGAGTTGCTGCCCTTTCTTTTTTTTATAAATAGTTGAGTTGATCATGTTATGTAATCATAAAGCAAATCTCTTGATTGATTGCATTAATTATTTTGCTATAGTTCTAACTCAAAACCTCAAATGGCTACTGAATCCACGGGAAGAAAGTTGGTGACGGTGTTGAGCATCGATGGAGGTGGCATTAGAGGTATCATTCCCGGTACCATGCTTGCCCATCTCGAAAAACAGCTTCAGGTAACTCATACACTACTCAATGAATTCATACTCAATTCAATAAATGAATTGACGTTGTATTCTGGAATTAGTATATTGAAAATGAAATTAAAGAAAGAAATTAATTCCATGTAACAGAACATGACATGAGTGTACTTCATAATAGTGTAAAAAAATAGTTTTTGTCATATACATTTCGATCTCTTTATTGTCAGACATAGCTTTTCTTACTTATTTTATGTATGATTTGCTAGGATCTTGATGGTCCAAGTGCAAGAATTGCAGATTATTTCGATGTTATTGCTGGGACTAGCACCGGTGGTCTGGTCACCGCCATGCTTACAGCTCCTGATAAGGATAAGCGCCCTATTAAGAAGGCTGAGGACATCAATGAGTTCTACTTAAAAAACGCTCCCCAAATCTTTCACCAATTTAGGTAATGATATAGCCATATTTAGAAAAAATAATAGCGAGTGTTGTGTTGTTGGAGAGATTGAGTAGCTTCTTATGCTTAGGAATTCGCATTCGAACCTTGCACCCTCACTCTCTCCTTTAATCCCTTGCACCCTCACTCTCTCCTTTAATCGCTAGCCCGTAACATTTTTTCCTCCGAAATTATATATATATATATATATATATATATATATATATATATAATACTCCATATAATAACAGGTCCACATTTACTAATGAGTAATATTGTGATGTCTTAAGGACTTCAATATACACTGTTCAATGATTGTTACATTAGTCCTTTTTATATATAACCCCTTCAACCTTAAAAATATTATAAATTATAAAAAAAAATTGCGATATAAGACCTTTTTGGACCATTCAAGCATTAAGGAAGTTATAAAATTTAATAACTAAAACATAGTTTGGAATAACAAAATTGTTGCGTTTGCAAGTTGCAAGGTTTTGCAAAATATAAGAAGTCAAGTTGTATTTTAAGAATTTAACCAAAAAAAAAAAAAAAGTTGTATTTTAAGAAGGTGTGACAGTGTTACCTAAGTAATAAAAAGGCCCAAAAAAAAAAAAAAAAAAAAAAAAATTAATTAATTGTATTCGAGGAAGGCTTTTTGCACGTTTGGAGCTAGGATCAAAAAAAATTCGAAACCATCTCTTCAAGGATGTCACTCTTTGTTCACTATGCTAACTCCTTTATTTATTTTTTATTTTTTTATTTATTTTTTTTCTTAATGTAAAATTTTCATCAATTTAAACGGGAAGAGTTTCGAATCCGAACATGGCAAAAAATGTGCATGGATCAAAAACAAAATTTAGAGTGTTTGTTTAACTGTATAAAAAAATATACCCATTCGTACAAGACACAAGTGTTTGTGTGTGCGCGCGTGCGCGCATATGCATTTTTTTAACATATCATTTTCCATACTCTTATATATACTTGCCTTTATATTATATATATATATATATATATATATATATATATAACACACAAACTTGTTTATATTAGTGTTTTTTTATCATCCATTTTCTAGGAATTGGTAAATTAGCAAAAAATTAGATGGAAAATTAATGTTTGTTTGACTCAGTTAATTTTCTGAAAGCAGTTATCAAGATTCAAAAAATAAGTTTTCCTTCCCATATATATATATATATATATATATATAGATTACTTCTAAAGAAGTGGATAAAAATATTATCTAAAAATACACATAATTTTAACTGAATTTTTATAAAACAATTTTCAAAAACATGTCAACCAAACACATCTTTTGTATTATTTTTATTTTCAATTTTTTTGCAAAACACAAAAGTATTCTCAATTATATACTAAACAAAACAAACTTTATTTTTAGGTATAAACTATTTACATAAAAATTACATATGAAATATTTCTATCTGAACAGAAACATCATTAATGGAATTTTATTTTATTTTTTTTCCTTTTTTTTGGGGATTAGCTGGTTTGACTTGGTGGGTAAGGTGGCGCGTTATATTCGCATGGTGTTCAGGCCAAAGTATGACGGAAAGGACCTGAAGAGAATAACAAAGGAGCTACTTAATGAAACTACCATCAAAGAAACCGTAACAAATGTGGTCATACCAACTTTCGACATCAACCTGCTCCAGCCAATTATCTTCTCTACGTCTGAGGTATGTTCCATTATTTGATTTCGAAATATGATGATATTTCAGTCGATGTGTTAGATCTAAAACATTAATAAAAAACTTATTTACATTTAAATATATTTCAAGTGCACTGAGATTCATGTTTCTCACTTAAAATATGTCTAAGAAATAAAGTTCGTTCAGCTAGTGTTTTAAGTCTAACTTGTCGACTAGAATAATATTATTGCTTTGATTTCTAGATACAAATATGAATTTTTTTTTTTGTTTTAATATTTTATGTACAGGCAAGAGATGATGAAGCTAAGAATGCTCTGCTATCGGATATCTGCCTCGGCACCTCTGCAGCTCCCACTTATCTCCCAGCACACAGTTTTGATCCTATCGATAGTGGCGAAACAAAACACACTTTTAACCCCAAAACAACACACATTTTTAACCTCATCGATGGTGGCCTTGCTGCAAATAATCCTGTGAGTGTTTATTTCTGTCAAGTATATTGTTGATATATTTTGCATATGTGTGTATGCACATATGCACAAATTATTTGATGGTTAATCATTTTTTTGTTTTTTTTGTATTTTTTTTTTTTTTTTGGGTTCAATTTTTGCTGTTTTTTATACATGGTCAAATTTCATATAATTTTATGTAAACACAGACTTTGCATTATTTTTATTACAGTTATAATTTGTATCACTGTTAATTATGAAGAAAGTCCTATACAATGATCCCATCAGACATTTTAGCACAATTTCAACAAGTATCTATCACTTCAAGGTCTTTTTTTAAGAAATTCACTTTAAAATTATGGACATGTCCAAGATTTTATGACGATATATGTATTTAATTGAAAATGTTCTGGAATTAAATCTCTTACTTCAAAACGTGTCATACTTCATAGAAATATTCGTGCTTGTCAAGATTAAACCATAATTTAAGTGTCATTTCTTGATTTTATATATGAATGCAGTTAAAATCAGAATTTACTTTCCAGTAATGATACAGCGTTACTCCAATTATGTAAAATATTCAAATACAAATACAACAAATTTCATACTACTTATCATTACTGTTTACTATTTTGTTGTAAATTAACACATGCACTTTCTATAATATTGCATATTAGTAGTTAGGTACATATATATATAGATTACCAAATTCACTAGTTTTGAGTAACTTGACAGACTCTAGTGGCCATATGTCACGCTACGAAAGAAATGTCGGCGGAAGGCACGAAAATGCTTGTCCTATCATTGGGCACTGGTGCAGCCAAACACAAAACCTACAGTGCGACAAAAGCCTCCAAGTGGGGTTTCTTAGGTTGGGCATGTTACTTTGGGTCCAATCCAATTCTTGACGTTTATGGTGATGCAAGCTCTGATATGGTTGATATTCATGTTTCTAATTTCTTTGAAGCCCACAAATGCCCAGAAAACTACCTTCGCATTCAGGTAACGAAAAAAAAAAAAAACTCACACAAATATATATATATATATGCTATCAAAATGGGCAACAGGATATTGAACTCTCTATTTATTAGCCACTGATTTAAGACTTTTATTACAATAAAAGATTTGTTTGACTTATCATAGATTTCAAAAGCTATCTCAATTAAGAAGTTAAGAAATAGAGAGTTCATACTCTTCTCACGGAACAAAGATCGTGTCCTGGTCAAATATGTTATATGTTAATTTGTCATGTACTAAGTGGAACAAGTTTACGTCATGAATGCAACAATTGCATAAATTTGTGATGCATGTTGTATTTTCAATGTAAATGTGTTGCATAATTAACTTTCTTAAAGTGTGTTGCAGTGTGACGTAGTGCACATGATCTCCTAACACAGGGGATCTAGGTTGCCTGTCATGACAGGGCATTTCTCTCGTGTATATATATTTGTTACTATCACATACATACTAATAGTTTCTTGTGATATATATATATGTATATGTGCATGGATAGACTGATCGTTTGAAGGGTGAGGAATCTTCGGTTGATATTGCAACAGAAAAGAATCTGGCAAACCTTGTGGTTACTGGAAAGAAGCTATTACAGGGGAAGGTTTCAAGGGTCGATTTGGGAACAGGCAAGTATAAGGAAGCACCTGGAGAATACAGTAATGAAAAAGCACTTGACGACTTTGCCCAGAAGCTTTGGGAAGAAAAGAAATTCCGCAAAGATTTTTTAGAGAAAAAACACTCAGAAGAGAATTAAATCATTTTCAAAGTTGAGTTGATGTTTAGAGATCTCTCTCTGATACACATTGTTTCAACAATAAGAAGGGATGATAATTGCTGCACTTGTAGCTTCATTATTTCCCTCATCTGTAATTTTATTTTAATTTTTTTCCAGAAGAAGTTACATAGGGAGAGCATGGGACATTCCTATCAAATAAAGTGATACGGCCTACTTAGTTTTAATTTGTGTATTGTCTTACTACGATTAATAATGGAGTATGGATTGACGTTTTTTTTTTTTTTCCTTCTATACTGCTCGAATAATATTTATGATCTATTATTGGTCAAGACTGTTCTACAGTTCTTTTCGCTTTTGAAGTATTGATCTAATATATATATATAGTGTTTCTGATCTATTTTGAGTTGAGCAAACCACATATATCAAACCGTACTTGTGGCGTCTAGTTCGCTTTTGCCAACTTAACCATTTTTGGGCAGTTTACATGCACAATGTCACACTACAAAATTTTCAAAACATTCATTTTGCCTCGCTTGGGATAAACCCTCTCTTCACTTTACAATACAGCTGAATGTGTGTGCACCGTCTCAGAGCTGCTGAAAGCCATTAAAATTAGCTTCGATTGCCCTAAAACACAAGTATGGGTTCTACGCTAACCCTAATTCACTACAACAAAATAATGATATGGTGGCATTAGTTTAACAGCAATTACTAAAAAAAATGGTGCTATTGAAATGTTTCTAACAGCACTTTTTAAGAGTGCCGCACGTGAACGATGTAGTCGGCTTCAACAAATGGGTTTGGCTTGATCATTTTTTATTTTTCAGTCCAAAACAATGTTAAGATCTCACTTTCTCTCTCCACTTCCGTTCCTCAATCTTCTCTCTCTACTCTCGCTCCTCACTTCTTCGCTCGTCACTATTTCTAGCTCCCAAATCCGACTGCAAACCTTAAGCTTCTCGCTCTTCGTCATAAACTCCAAAGAGATTTTCAATCGATAGCTTCGATTCGTTTCTGGCTTGTCACTATCGCTCCCAGAGCTTAGCTTCGATTCTAATTAATTTCAAAGAGAAAAAATAATCAATATTTGATTCGTCGACCAGTATTGCTTTGTTTCCCATGTTGGAATTTATATATATATATTTAAATAATAAAAATTATTTTATGGTTGTATATATTACGTTTTTCAAAAGTAGGATTGCAATATAATTATTGATACTTGATGGATTGGGTTTGTACTTTTCAATTTGGTGGTCTAATTGGAAGTATGATTTTTATACTGTTGGATTGTGGTTTTCCAATATGATTTTTATACTGTTGGATTGTGGTTTTCCAACTTATTTGGTTTGATTTAATTCTAATCATTAATATCTAAGTTTTCATAATAGGAAGGGAGATTTCGGTATGCTTGTTTGTAGAGAAGTCCCCCTTGTTATTGGTATATATAAGAGTTTTTAAATCCTTATTCAAAACTATCGTATCGACAACTTTCAGAATGGAGTAAAACGCTCTATTTTTTAGATCTCTCAAAGGGCGATAAGGAATTTCCAAAGATATCTAAAGTTTAATTTTCTAATCAGGTATGATATCAAAAACCTCTCGTTAATTCATGATTAATTTTGATTTCTACTTGTTATTTGTAATTTCAACCCATCAATTGGTATCAGAGCCAAGTTAGGATTCGTAGAAATCAAAATATATAATTAATTCATCGGGTGGGTAATTGATTATTCTGTTTTATATATATATATATATATATAACAATAAATAAAGTAGTGCCCAAATTGCTATCAATTTGTTTTGTGATCAAATGTCTTGTTCATCAAATTCTTGCGCAACCAGCGTATCCATGCTAAACGAGGAAGAAAAGACAATGGCTTTAAAAACAAAGAATCAGATGTAAAAAAAAAAAAAACAAACAGATACTCTTTTGTGTTTATTATTGACTATTGTTTGAGTCATGCACAAAAGTGGAAAAGAAAAAATAAAAAATAAAAAAATAAAAAATAAAAAATAAAATCTTACAGATTTGAATAATAAAGCTACAGTGAAGCTTTGTAGTTTGTCACTATTTTGTTAGTTGGATCAATAGATTATAGTGGTGTTTTATAAGACTGATTCATATATATATATATATATAATAAATGCATTGGTTTTAATACCCAGACCATTTATTTAAATATTATAATATTATATTATAATGAAAGTTTATTAGGAAACATTAGTCCTACGGATATAGATGTTGGTATAAACACGTGATTAATTCATGTTTATATATTCATGGGTTAGAGATATACATGTACGTACAAGTGATGTAAATCCTTTCATGCCCTTTTGCCCAGGTGCTTGACTGATTGGTTTTGTGAGTAAGCCTTTGTATAGTGAATATATATGTTTTGTATGCAAGATTGCATGTACAATAGTGCGATTAATAGTAAAGAAAAAATACATACATGCATCAAATGCATAAATGGTCAGTAAGGTATTAAAGTGTGATTTGTTTTTTGCCTAGTTAATGTCAGGTTGAGAATTTTAATTCATGTTATATTACAAGTATCAGTGACCTTTGAGTGGGACATGAGGTTGTGTGATTATTTAGTCACACCCTGCCCAGTGCTTTTATTAAGTAATTCATGATACTTGTTCAATTTTAAGTTGAAAAACTTATGGGGGCTGCGTGTCATAAGCAAATAGTATTAACCTAATTGATTTAAAGATTAAAAGTACTTTAAATTGTTTGTCGGATATATAATATACATGCATCAATGTTTTGTTATTTTATTTTAATTAAAGTATATATAGAATTGAGATTTTTAAATCCTGATTGATGCATATTATTATTATATTGTTCATTATAATTTCTCAAAATGTATGAGGAGACTTTATTTTATTTGTATTAAAACCATTTATATTACAGTGAAATCAAGTGTTCTTTAATATTTGGGTTTAATTTATGTGCATTATAAAGAAATTGTTGAACTTAAATAAATGAAACTTCTGTAGTATAAGTTCTTCCTTGGGGTTTAGGAAGACCGGTAAAGTGACCGTTTCAAAGGTAATAACTAAAGTGAGTGATGCATGCTAAAAGGTGACACGCTCACGAAGGTTATTATTATTATTATTATTATTATTATTTTGAAATTTTAAAACATTGGTCTTATTGAGGTCTCATAGTGCACTTACCTACATGAGGACATTAGTTCTGCCAAAAGGTGATCAATGTCTTAGTGTGGGATAAGTGAGTAGAATATTTGAGAGTGCTTGAATTATATCTAAATAATCCTCTTGCCAAAAGGTAGTGGAAGTGGTTAGTAATAATTCAAGTATAATCAAATAGGTGTATGTGTGATTTTTATCACAGGTTTGGGGGGTAAAGTAAAATCTAAATTTCTGCCAAAAGGTGATTTTTTGATGGCATTTTATCTGTTCCCGCAGGGTTGACGTACGGTTTTTGCACATAGTAAAACATCTTGAGAAATTCGGCTTAAGACCCCAAGCACGAATTAAAGTAATAATCCCTAAAGTTATGACATATTATTTTATATATTGTTTATATGGTGTTATTCAATATAACATTTATTCAGGTTACAGACGCTTTTGCAATTTAAAGATAGCTTATAGGGATTGAACCATTAAATAGTTAAAATTATATTGCTTAGAAGACAAGTTTTGATATTATATTGGGTTTCTTAGACTACGAGTCTGTGTTGTTTTTTGAAGAAGAAACCCATATGCCCAGTACAGAGTCTTCTTAGGTAGAAAAGTTGTTGCATTTTTAAGTGGACTAAAGGTACTACCATGCCATTAGATTAATTTATGCTTCTGTTGGTGATACTATTTATAGTGGTATTCTAGTTTTCATACTGCTAATGGGCTTCTTGATTTGATCAAGAAATAGTTAATGGGTATTAAGAAGCAACTACAATACTATTATCTGACATGGTTTATGTTAGTCAGATATGATGGCAATAGTTCAGTGAGGGAGTATATCTATAAGATGTGCAAACTGGTTAATGAACTGAAGTAGTAGGGAATCATATTTGACGATAAGTTATTTGTCCACTTGGTAATCTATTCTCTACTTAGGTTTTTTCAGTTTTTTAAGGTGAATTATAATTCACAAGAAGTTAAATATGGCATTAACCAGTTGTTAGCACTTTGTGTGATTGAAGGGGAAAGACTCAAGGGTGTTAAAACTGAGTCAGCTCATCTTATTGTGATAGTAAGAATCATTTTAAGAATAAACTAGGCGGCAAGAAAGTATATAAGGCTAAACAGAATAAAGAAAGACAGAACAATACATGAAAAGATATTGATCATGGAATGATAAATGTTGGTTCTTTAGAAATAAAAGAATATAAAAGAAAAGGCTATTGTGCAGAAAAGAAAACCAAAGCATGAAAAAAAAATTGTCATGTTAACATTTGAACTTACCTTGGTAAAAGTATAGGTATAGATGTAATGTCTTTGTCAATATATATATATATATATATATATATATATATATATATATATATATATGTGTGTGTGTGTGTGTGTGTGTGTGTGTGTGTGCGCATATGAGTATATATTTGTGTGTGTGGTGTAATTTAAAACAAAAAGAAAAGCGAAAAGAAAAAGGAAAATGGGTGGGACCCACATGCACTTAAAATGGTCATGAGACCACTTTTTGTTCTATTTTTTTTTTTTTTTCCCGTAAGCTTCTCTCTCGTTCCAAAAGCTCTCTGTTTTTTTTTTTTTTTTTTTTCTTTTTTTGGTTTCAATCTTCAAGGCTTGATTGCTCCCTTATCTTTTAGTATTTTTAAGTGCCGTTTGAGGCAAAACGAAGCCCACGACGAGCTCTACGCATCCATACCATCAATTTCAATTTTTGTACACCCTTTGGATTTCGAAATTCAAGACCTACATTTAAGGATTTTGTACAAATTTGAGGTAGGGGCTCTTAATCCACAAGTTTCTTGCTCCTATGTGAATTACATCTTCTAATTTGATGCTAGACATGGTCACTTATGCTAGTTGTAGTTTAAAGAAATTATAGCATGTGTATGTGGTTATGTGAGAACTTATTTTAAATGTTTTATGTGAAAATTCTT